ATTCACATATAGTTAATGTGCAAAGGGGCGTGTCGTGTCAGGAGACGTCATCCTGGGGCTCATGCTTGGAAGCGGCAAAACCAAGTCTGAGTCTGGTCTTGAAATTTGATCCGACAGTGCAGGCGGTCAGCCTCCTCCTTCCTCCTCCTTCCTACGCCACATCTCATCACTTTTCACCTCACCTTGAAAAAAAGAGGAAGCTATTTCCCGCACTGTCTACTGTCCTCATATTGACACTTGTTTTTAGTTTCTGTCCTGTGATAGCCTGTCATAAAAGTTTCCCATGTGCTTATGTCTGTAGTTTTCCTGCTAGTCTGCGATAAACCAGTGGCCTCTTGTGGTTTGGCCATACATTGACCTTTTCCTGGTTCTGATCAAGTCTCTCTCGACATTTGAAGCTTCCCCTTTATACACTAACCATCTAAAAAACATTCTAATGAATGTAGAGCCCAATGATGAGTAATATAAGGCACACATGTGTTTAGTACAAAACATATCAAATAACAATATAATTGTTAGTACATGAAGTTACTGATTATAAACGGTGGTCAGCGTGTGCGTGTATTTCATTTATACAAAAAACTCAATTTAAACAATGAAATTGAAATTAAATGTAATACTTACATTTTTGTACAAGTGTGTCCATGGCCTCGCACAAAAATACATCTGTGATGTCAGGGACATACAGTATGAACCAACTCGGACTCTGAGGAGCACAGGGACTGTCCTCCTGCTGTGCCCAGAGGCCGGACTATAAATGAGGAGTCACTTGTTTAGCTAAAAGGGTCTTCCTAAAACGGGAGGACAGGCTTCTTCTCTAGCCATGTTCAAGTGTGGTCCTTTGGACGACTTTGTTTGTGATGGTGGTCTTAAAACATCCATAAAATAAAGTGTTATAGAGTTATTGGTTCTCTGCTCTTTTGTGAGTTGTATGTCTTTTATGAGTTTGCCTGGTGCAGGAGAATAACAGTCAGTCAACATACAGTACTGTTTCCATAGCAACTATAACCGACTCTGTAGTATACTCTCCGGGGCTGATCTACAGATGTTGATGCTCTACTTGATCCTGACCGGAGCTGGAGGATTTTACTTGTTGTACATGTTTTAGTGTTAGAGGAAACCGGAGCACTCGGAGGAAACCAGAGCACCCGGAGGAAACCTAGGCAGATACGGGTCTACTCAAATAAAGACCTGTTTTGACCAGGTTTCGGACCCAGGATGTTTAAGCTGAGAAGAAGCTGTAAATGATAAATTGTGATTTTATGGGTGAAATATATTCTGAAAAAAAGTCCCAAAAACTTCACTTGAGTTTGGTTTTCCAGAGAAATCTTTAATAAAAGTGTTACACCTTTAGAAGACAGCGAGAACACACAAAACTGGTCGAATGTACACAGTCCACACAAACGCACACAAACAGACGCACATGTTTTTGGCCATTTTGTACAGTTCACTTCAGCACAGAACGGGGAAAAGCAGTTGCATTTTTCTGACGTGAGCTTCCCCCATGTTCGGCCGCAGCAAAAGACCCACAGTTTGTGAAGGAGATCTCCCCTCATCGGCGAAAGCAGCGGGAGGAATCCAGGGACGGAGGTGAGAGGAGGTCTTACAGAGGCGAGACGGACCATGGCTCAATAGTTCATTTACAAAAACAGGTAAGACTTTTTTCACCTGGCTTTTGAAAGATCTAGGTGCAGGATTAACTGAATCCTCTCACACATTTTAGTCTGTTTTCACAAATGAAATCTCTCATCCATGGTCGTGTTTCCAACTATATATTACATTTTCACTTTTCAATCATATTTACACCTTATTTCGATTACCTTCTCTCAGAGAACAAGTTATGTTGACTGTGTGAGCATGTGAGATAAAGGGTGGGTTCACACGTAAAGAAGAAAAAACTAGAATATTTTTGGCAATCAAAAATGATAGACTGTTTACTTATTCATTTTATGTTTAAGAATGTAAAATGATAATAGTGTTAAATATGTAAGAAAACAAGGATTAAGGGTAAAAAGTTCAATCCACCTGTAACTCCCTAGGCTACCACCAGAGGGAGGAGTTGAATTTGTTTTTGTTTTATTAAAATGAGAGAAAAATGTTCTGGGTGTGATGTCATAGTGATACAATGATATCATACTATTACAGGAATGAGGGGCTACATGTTTGTGCCAAAAGTTCCTGATTTTAGCGTGGATGGATCTAAACACAACTCCAGGTCTGTGATTGGTGAGGAACAATGTTGGAAAAAAGATGATTTGCATAATATGTCTCAAATATGTTTTCTTCTGCTTTATCCGTTGCCGGGTCGCGGGGGCAGCAGTCTGAGCAGAAACGCTCAGACTTCCCCATCCACACACTTCCTCCAGCTCATCCAGGGGAACACCAAGGCGTTCCCAGGCCAGCTGAGTGACATAGTCCCTCCAACGTGTCCTGGGTCTTCCCCTGGTCTCCTCCTCACTGAACTCCAATCCGGGTTCATTTGTGGAGAGAAAAATTACCAAACAAGTGAACACAGGTTCAAAAGTCACATGAGGCAGTTTACTTCTTTTTAAGTTAAAGGTTTATAGAAGGATTTTCCCAAATTTTAGGAAAGAACCGCCCTCTCAACTATTTGAACAAAACTCTTTTGTCTTATTTGACGAGCACGTATCACAAGTAGAAAATCCTCTCATAAACCTTTAAGTTAAGTTTTGCTCAGTGAGGACCAGAGCTGGAGGATCTTACCTATTGTTCATGTTTTTAGACCCCGCTCATCTTGTTTCTATCACTCGTTTTTAAATGCATGTATTTTTGGCTTCTGTCACATTTTTACTTTGCCAATCATCTCTCACCCTAAAGCACCAAATTGTGACTCACAGGGCCCTTTCTTACAAGTATCCAAAGATAACATGTTGGTGAAGAAAAACTTCTTTTGGTTAGGAATCCTAAGTTTAAATAGAAAATACATGTTTTCAGTGGTAGGCAAAAGCGTAGCACCCGGAGAAGGCAGGGCAAACTTACAAAGACAGGGGAAGAATTTAAACTGCTTACATTCTTACTGTTGGCACATCTTGACAACATAAGGCACACTACGGCCACTAGGAGGCAGTTGTGTGCAGGCTTTAAAAGCCAATGGCCCCTCTTCTTCTTCTTGGGCTGCACACGTCTCTTACTGAAGGAATCACATATTTATCTAATTGTTATTTTTTGTGGATGTCTGTTTTCCCACTGCAGCTGCAGCAGGTGCAGCAGCTGCAGTGTGTGCTTTGAACTCATTCTAATGGCGTTACTGGTCGTACCACTACATAAACAGCTCAAATAACTTTGAATAAATAAAAAGTGGGCCTTTCTGAGTGGAGTTTGCATGTTCTCCCCGTTTTCTGTTTCAGCGAAGGTTTTTTCTCCCTAGGCTATCGTACTGTGAGAGGTAAGAAGCAAGAGCGCTCACCACTCCAAACTGACGTACTCAGGGGTAAAAGGCTTGAGACTTAAGACAAGTGGATAGTTTCACAATGAAGAAGAACCATTCCAGGAAAATATACATTCAAAACGGCATTTGGTAATTTGGTATCATGATATGGAGAGGCGTGGCTTCTGTAAAACTAGAAGACAAGTCGTTTAAAGTCGAAATCCAACAATGTCAGTGGTATTAGCCACAAGAAAATCAAACAGATATATTCCAAGCACACAGAGCTTTTCCCAGTGACATCTTGTTTCTTATGGGCGTTCCCTTCAACCTTTGATCAATGCAAAGTTGTTTAGAATTGTCCGACTTCAGTAAAGTACCAGAAGTTATTGATGTTCATGAAACCCCAAATGAAACTCACATTTAAGATAAAAAAGGACTCTAAAGCAGCTCTGCTTGTGTTTGAGTCTTTCCATGGCCTTGCACTCAGGTACATTTGTGACACGAGCCTGGACTCCTGGGACTCTGAGGAACACAGGGACTGGCCTTTTCAGATTCAGATTCAGATTCATTTATTTGCCTTTTGCTGGTGCCCAGAGTTGGGACTAAACATGTGGAGACAGCATTAAAGATTTGCAGCTAAATCCAGGTTTTGTTAAGTACTTCGAGTTGCTTTGTGTATGAACTGTGCCATTGCCTATTTTGAACGGGCTGGACTGACTTTTGGATGAGAAAGGAAACACTTTTCACCTACATTTTGGGCCTATTGTAAAAACAGCTGTTGGGGTCAATATCAGGCCACCGTGTGCAAATTTAATCTAAGATAGAGGATTTATTCTCTGCAAGCCAGGAACCCTGACTGCACCACTCTCTGAAAGTTATGAAACAAGTTTTATCAAAGCATTATCAAAGTCTTGGGTAGGTTTAGGGCCAAATGCAAATGCCAAATAAAACTACACACTTAAAAACCATGTATACTGGTTACTGTTGTAACCAAAAAAGTTTGGTATCAATATTTTTCACATTTGTCTTTTTGCCTCTGAGGACAATAAGCCTTGCTCATGCAGCTACAACTCTCAGTCCAAAGCATCATAATCAGAACAAATCAGACCACACTTTGCTGTCTTCATCTTCTTAGAAAATGTTCAAAAACCTTTTGCACACCTGTCAGAAAGAGCTCATGGCTTGACTCTTTGGGCTGGGAGCTGATTGGCTGAGAGAGGGTGGTCTTCTCTTTTTCACTTTTATGTCTGGAAATGATCATCTAAAGAAGTGACAGAGGTAAAAATGACATACATGTGCAAACTAGCGATAGAACCAAACTGTTTTGAGAAAAAGGAATTTGTTAAATTGAACATACTTTACTTAGATACATTATTTATGGTCTGAAAGTTAGGTCCACCCCAGGTTTAAAAGAGAAAAACCAGATTCCGAGATAGAAACCCCATTTGAGAAACACACATGCATTACATCAGCTTTACAGTAGACTGGAGACTCCCCTCTGTAAGAAATCCTCCGTGCAACAACAGTGACCCGAATAAGAAGTCTTTGCAGAGAAGAGAAAAGGGCAGTGAACAGGAAAGGTCATGAGCGGCTGAAGCTAAAAATCCGTAGGTTAAAGCGTTCCCTCATCCAGCAGTTTGTTGACGCCGTTGCAAATTTTCCGTAGCGAAACTCTGTACTCCTCCTGGTCTCCGTACAGCTCCGTCAAAAACTCCACGTGCGCAAAATGGTTGAAGACGTGGTCGATGCGGCCGTGCGATCTGGGCGTGAGGTGGTGCTCGACGATGGCGTGCAGCAGGTCCCTACACTCCAAGAGCAACTCGGAGAGAATATTCCTGTCAAAGGTGTAGTCGACTTCGTAGAACGAGACCGCCGTCATGGCCGCCTGGTTCATTTTCTTCTTGAAGCGTTCCACCGTGTCCAGCTCGTCGGGGCTGAACTGGTGGTTGCGGTAGAGGATGCCGATTTTGAGCGCAATTTTGATGACGTCTTTGATGATTTTGTGCGCTTCCTTCTTGCTCTTGGTGAATTCGCGGCTGGCCTTGTAGAGCTCGTCCAGGATCTCGCTGCTGGTGTCGTCCGTCAGCATGTTGGCCACCGCCATGGTCGCCATCTTGCTCAGGATCTTCTTCTGGGCTTGCAGGGCCAGCGAGCGGGAGTTGAAGCTCTCCTGCCCTAAAGGGAGACAGTTAGTTTGGTTGCAATGAAACAGATTTTTCCTTATGAGAATACATAGATAGATAAATAGATTTATAGAAAAACTGTATGTTATTGGGTCTATGAGAATGAGAAAAGGCGGTTTTTCTTAGTAGTCATTTTTGGTTGACCAACATTCTTATGACAGTTAAAGGAACTTTTTCTCCAGGTGCTGGTTCTGGACTAGCCTGGTCGTACCATACCATAGTACAAATTAAATTTCATACTAAGGTCTGAATGTGCTCCATTGAGCTCCTTTGACAGGTGGGAGGGGTTAACTCCTTTTGCAGATTGAAACGATTGGATCTGGGTTTACCGTCACGTATGTAATGCGCCCGAGTGAGTCGTTAGCATTTAGCCTAGTCATCTCCTTTGCCACAAACGGAGCCCCTGGGGAGTAGCGCCACAATCTTTGCAGAAATTACATTTGCTAAACATTCCTCTTGCTCCGGCTTCAATTTCTTAATAGGACCAGACCGTATTACTTTACTACCGCATTCTTCATCATTGCCAAACTACAACCTGCCCTTTCGATATAAACACTTGACGTCACCCACAACTAAATACAACACCCGCCTCCTACGATCCCTGATTGGTCGGATGGAATTCAACCGATTGTAATCGCTAACATGGGGACCAGATCCAGACGTTATATGCAGTGAAATGATGATTGAGCGGAGTGTACGGTTGGTAAGGCCAGGCTAGTTCTGGACTGGTTCAGAACAATCTCAGCTTGGAGCAAGTGCATGTTTCCACAGCATCACACTGTTTACTTGGCAGCAGTTAGCTTTTAGTTGCTTTTCAGCAAACTACTTTTCCCCATTCGAGTAATTTTGGACCACTTATTTTGGATTTAAAACATATATATTGCTTAATTTCTATAAAAGCTACGCATTCGTATTAGACAGTGTTCCAATTTTGGCACAACATCTCGTGGTTTAAGATGACAGAGAAAGTATCGATCATGTCCAGAGTGTGAAAGGTCGTGGAAATGTCGTGATCTAAGTGAAGTTGTAACTCATACAGTCATCGCAGCTCAAAGTGGTAGCATGAATGGGCGCACTAAAGTTTGCATAAGGTCACTCAGTTTAAAACACCACCGCAAGATAACAACAATAAAGCATTTAAATCACAAATCACAAATCATTAACATTGGGTGAAATTGTGTTATTTGATTTTTGTGAGAGGGTCTAAAGACAGTGATGACTCTGGACATTTATGGAAATTAATAAACCTTTACGGACACAGGTCATCCCACTCCCTATGGACCGATGGCTCTTACGTATTCACTACTATTGTATTTCCTATGTTCAAACTGTTTTTTTCTGCAATATTGTATATTGTAAGATAATGGATGAATCAATGAAACATAAACCGATAACATCTAATTTTCACTATTTACAATAACATTTAATAAAAACGGAAAAAAACAATTATGAGTAAAACAGAAATGGCTCATTTGACACTTGACATTTGTTCTTTTCATGAAGGAAAGTGGAGAGGGATGGAGCCATTAGGGTGACCTTTGAGGAAGTATGTGAGACAATCAGACATTGACAGCGGCTATATGTCAACCCGAATTCAACTGAACCTCTCCAATATTACAACATGATACTGAATTCAGACACAGTATTATAGCATATTGCATTAAATCAATCATAATATCAGAACATATGAATTTTGTTGAACATATGTTGAACATATGTTGAAATTACAGCAACGTACAGCTGTATCTATGGCCACAGTCATTTATCCATGCGGCAATGTGAAAAAATAAGGCCCAAGAAAAAAGTATTCTGACATAATCTTTGTTCTATATTCAATGTCCTGTTTTACCATGATAGTCCTGCTGATATTTCAGAATGTTTTTTTCAGGTCAGTTCTGGCCCCGAAGAGTCATGGTGTGGATTTTTGTTATTTGGTAGTTGGTCTTATTCCAACATAAATTCTCTTGTGGTTATTTAACGTTTTACTTCCTGTCCTGGTCCCAATGTGTAACACCTGTGTCTCTCTGACTCTATACGCCCCCCTGCTCTTCCCCAATGGTTGCCGGTCTGTTTCATTAATTTTGGTCTCAGTTTTTCCCAAGTTACAATCTTCAGTTTTGTATTTATAAAAAAAAAAAATTTAAATTCACTTTAACCATTCATTTTAACAATAATTCTCTAATTTGACATTCCTGCCTTTTGAGTCCATCCTTTGTGTTCACCATGTGACAGAGAGGATAAGTACACGTTTTTAGTGGTACAGTAGGGCAAACAGGAAGATAGAGATACGTATAACCATCATCCATCCATCCATTTTCTTCCCCTTAATCCATTTCTCACAGAGCACCCGCATATATATACATACTATATACATATAAGCATCTTGCCCTATATTCTTCTTCTTTGTCTCTCCAAAAATTACTTGAATAAAAGTTATCAATTCAAAGACATAACCTCTCTCACACACACATTAAAATCATCAAGTTCATCTCTGTATTTTTAAAAATCTAACTCTCACAAAATGGAAAATTACAAGCCACAAACAATGAACAACATCTGCTTTTTCTCCCCCAAACACGTACCCATGGGTTTGATCATCCGCTGGGAAATACGCGGTTTCTTCAAATAGTCCATCCCACAGTTTGGAGTCATAGGTTTAATACACTCACAGACCATAGATAAGGCTCTCACATGTTAGTGTAATGAGCTCGAGCTGTGTTTACTTAGAGCAGCTGAAGCCCGTCTCAAATGACATGGTTTATACCTCCTTTTGACCCAGGCAAATAAATAAGGACTCATCCCCACCACATTTTTCTTAGATGTTACTGTAGCTGCACTTCTGCTCTTTGCTTCCAGCTCAGGGAATAGACTTCTTGTGTACAAGTCTCTCCATCGCACCACAGTACATCCGCGACATGTTAGTGCCATATGAACCGACTCTGAGGAGCACAGGGACTTACAGTATCCTCCTGCTAAAGATGGGGATGCAGCATTTCAGATTTACATTATGTAGCGCTCTTTTAAATCTTTCAATCTTTTACTGTTTTCCCAAAAACAGTTCAAATTGGGGTTCAAACGTTGTTTTTTTTAGCTGTGCACATAACTAAAGGATTGTATCTTGACTCCTTTTGATGTACTGTGATTGATTATGATCTTAATGCCTTGTGTGATTGTTTCTATCAGGTTTTGTTAAAGGTACACTGTGTAGTTTTTACTCCCATCTAGCACTGAGATCATATATTGTAATATACGATACTAAGGTAGCTTCGCAGGACAATATGTCGCCTTTGAGAGCGGTCCCGGTTGTCCTGGTCAAACTCCTTTTTGTCCCTTATCAACCAATGTATTTTAAGATGGCGCATTGACATGTTGAGTCCTCCAGCTGGACTAAGTCAAATTCTAAATCTGAAAAAAATTCAAAAACCAGGTGGAGGTGAATATTCTTAAAAAGGTCAAATTTGGTGTTGGTTAACATGTTTTTTTCATTTGGACTAAGAAACTCACCTTGTCTATGAACCTTGGTACAAATAATGCCTTGTCATTAGCAGTAGCTTCAACATGATGGTCTTAGTTAATCTATCACATTTTTATCTAGTCTGTAGTTTCGGATTAGTAGGATTAAGTTACAATTGAACTGGCGACATAGGGCAGCCTTGAGACCAGCACATGGGAACAGGTCTGACTCACTGAGCAAAGCTAAACCCCCCATAGGACAAAGTTAAACGGAATGCCTTCTCCAGATTCACAAAGCACATGTGGACTACAAAGGTGTGGACTACTCTCTGGATCCCTAGAGTGCCAGATTGTGTCTATCTTGTTTTGTTAACCACTTTGAGTTGCCTTGTGTATGAACTCTGCTATCCAAAAAAATAAACTTTCCTTGCCTTTTTAAATAATTGTGATAATGTTGAAGCCAGCAGAGAAGCCCTTGATGGTCCAACAGCCCACCACTGCAAAGGGGTATAGCCAAAACCTTAAACTTACCACAAAGCCAAACTATTTTCATGAAATCTTTCCAACTCATACCTATATTGGGCGTCTAAATTAAAAAGTCAAAATGAAAAATGCCATCTCGGACTGCTGATGATCTACCTACAACTCCTTCAGCTTTTGCAGAGCTCTGAATAAGACAGGAAGCCAAAAAACTTTCACAGTGAGTGCCAATGGGCAGCTCTTCATCCAGAATAAATACCGGCTGGTTTTGACTGCACTCCATGAGCTGACAACTTTAATGAAAACCAAGAAACTGTTATACGAGGGTAATATTCTACAAGTCTGATAATTTGATAAGCTTATAAAATTGTTGTTTCATGCAAAATTAGAATGATAATACACAAGGGAATACGCACGGTGTTAAAAAAAAAAGTTCCAGTCTACAGCTGTGTGTTTGTGTGTGTATTTTCTAATAAACACAAAACGGCAGATAGTTGTTTGTATCTTTCTGAATGGCATGAAACTCAAGAACTAAACATATTGTAATGGTTTTGTCTAATGTCTCTACTGCAGAAAACATTAGAATATAAGTTAATAAACGCTTGATGATTCTTTTGAAACAAGATTTAGCAAAAAGCATGACAAAAATCAATGAAAATGTCCTTGTAATTTGACTACAGCTGCTTGTTCCAATGTTTTCAAAATATACTCAAACAGATATACATTTTCCACTTAGCAAGCATTTTTACTCACTTATTTTTTGCATGAAACCCCAGTAACCCAAATGAGAGACACATTACTCCACTGTTCGAGGCGTCTTCACACAGAGGATGTTAAAAATGGCAGATTACACGTTGAAGAAACTGGATCCTGAAACCACTTGAAGCCTCAGTGTGGATCTAAAAGGGAGATGGGCGCGTCTGCCGGCGGCGGTCGGACAGCTGTAGTGAAGCAGGAACATGTGCGGCAGATAAGGAAACTACATTTACATCTCTACTGTATGTCCTGCTTCTGTCATCATTAGGTGTGTGTGTGTGTGTGTGTGTGTGTGTGAGAGAGAGAGCGTAGTTGGGATCGTGTGTGTTCGTGTGGTTGTGTGTATGTGCATGCGGTTGTGTGGGTGTATGAGGCATGTGTATGTGCTTGTGTGTGTGCGCGCTGTGTTGATGTATGTGGGTGCGTGTGTGTGTGTGCGAGAGAGTGTGTAGGTGTGATAGTGTGTGTGTGCATATTTGTTTCTGTATATGCATGCGGTTGTGTGTGTGTATGAGGGTGTGTGCATGTGTGTGTGTGCTGTGTTGATGTATGTGGGTGGGTGCGTGCGTGTGTGTGTGTGCATGTGCAGAGGTCATTTTTTGTCAAATTCCACAATTAACTTGAGCAAACACTTGTGCTTAATATGATCGAGTGATTGATTATTTCCATCCATCCATCCATCCATCTTCTTCCCTTTAATCCATTTCTGGGTCAGGGGGGTGGCAGTCAGAGATGCCACCCAAGTCTCATAGCACCAGCCCCTCACTGACCCTCTGCAGGTGGTGAGTCCACAGGAGGACGGCTGCTCTCTGAGTGTGAGCATAGCCTTGATCTTTCAGTGGGGGCTTTGGGCAAAGTGGGGTTAAGTGTCTTGCCCAAGGACACAACGACAGCAGTCATCAGTGGGAGTCGGTGGAGAAGGTGCAGAGGTGGGAATTGAACCCACGACCTTCTGGGCTTAAGGCCAATGCTCTACCAACTGAGCTACTGTCGCCCCCATTGATTGATTATTTCACTTGAGAAATTTCCAAAACTAATTTAGGGGAAATACTTTTGTTTAAAAAGGCAGATAACTCCTTGTCTGATGATGTCATAGAAGCACAATGACATCATATCATTACAAGTTTGAGACAAGAGTATTTAGACAAAAGGGGCAGAGTTACATGTTTGTTCCAGAAATTTTTGATCTAAAAACAACTCCAGGTCCGGATTTGATGTCACATCACATGTCTCCTTTAAGACCGCATCAGCCACTAGAGACAAGACAGATCCCTGGAGCGCCTCACCGGCCCCTGACACATGCGATAAACTACTGTCCTCCAGCTGACGTGCTTTTCCAGGGGCATCGTGACGTCCCTCCTCCGCTGTCAGAGCCGCGAGTCCGGGGGCGATGCGTCTGCACATGAGGCCGACCCAAAAAAAGAACACCTCCTTTGTTTGTCAGTGCCATTTAATGAAAACAAACAGGACACAACACAGCTCAGAACCGGCTTATTACCTACATATGTAGAGAAGCACACTTTTTAGCCAGTTTGACATCTATATCTGTCAGAATTGAACAATTACGTTCAAGGATCTTTCACATATGGTCTTGGTTCTCTGGGGTTCGTCTTGTCATATTTATCCATGTTATGAGGCTAAAGCTGAGGTTCAGGCTATAAGAAACTTTGAGCTCACTGCTCTCGGTCCTCTCTCTGTTGCTACGCTCTAACAGAGAGAGAACAATAGGTGAATGTAAACTGATGTTTTGAACTTTTCTTGTTTCTGCTTTTAGGTTGACATTTTAAATCTGTCCAGGGACAACAGAGGAAAAAAGCCTTGTGGCTAATTCTGGTACATTTACAGTAATGTTCATTAAGGTACACTGTCCCTCTCAAATAAACAAATCAGTACATTAATAAAATAAACAGCAATCAGTCAATAACACTCAGCTGACAGCACTCAATCAGTGCCCTGCATCAAGCTTTCATATTGTGCAGAAAGCTTTAATTCGTGCAGCAACCCTCCTCCTCCATCAGCCGATCCAGCTCTTCAACCCTTCTTTTAGCTCCCACCATTAGGATCAAGGCCCCGAGGGTATTTCATCTCATAATCTCTATTTTCATGTCCCCTTCTGCATTGGTCATGCATTGTTCTGCCAGATTCTTATGTGAAAATTAAAGAAGTGAGAGATTACTATGCGACCCAATTAATTCAATTCTAAAAGGCCCCTTTTGTCTGTTTGAGTCTGTCCAGATTGAAATACTTCTATGATGCAGCCAGGAGAGTGTTGGTCAAATAAAGTATTTCCTTGTGGTCATTCGAGTTATGGAAAAGGTAATGTTGGGTCTCAGTCTGATCTCAGAGACACAAACTCTTTCTTGGTCTATAGTTCGTGGTTCGACCATGCAGTCACAGTCTCAGGACACGTTATTTGAGTTGTGTTTGCAGCAAGTTTTAAGGATCCGCTGAGCAGGATTGACAGGAGCGTTACAGTATATGCTCATTTAGATTAAGGCAAGGCTAGTATATTTTTTGTATAGCACATCTTATACTTGAGGCAACTCAAACTGTGTATTAAAACAAGATTGAAACTATCTTACTACTGGGGCGACAGTAGCTCAGTTGGTAGAGCATTGGCCTTTGGGCCTGAAGGTCGTGGGTTCGAGCCCACCATAAGACCTACTTCACGACTTCCACTGATGACTGCTGTCGTTGTGTCCTTGGGCAAGACACTTAACCCTACTTTGCCCAAAGCCCCAACTGAAAGATCTCAGCTCCTGTGGACTCACCACCTGCAGGAGGATCAGTGAGGGGCTGGTGCTCTGTGACTGGGTGCAGCTCTGACTGCCACCCCCCTGACCCAGAAAAGGGGAAGAAAATGGATGGATGGATGGATGGATGAAACTATCCTACGATTGTTTAGCATTAAATATAGTCACAGAACATCAAACAGATTTTTTTATGAATCACAGCAGTTATTGTTGTTGCACTTTTGTCAAGGCGACTATTGTTGTCTTCTTGTCTCAAAAGTCACTTTGACTTTTGAGACGAGGCGTATAGAACACATACTGTACATAAACACTTTAAGACCTTTGAGTTTATCAAACAGAATCCATCAGAGAGCTCTGCCGTGCATTTATTTGATTCAGTCTTCAAAGCCACATTTGCCTTGGACTTAAGGTCACCTCAGCCTCAACATTCATAAACAATGAATGGATTCTCAAGCTTTATGACAGAAATGTCTCAGGTGTGACACCTAAAACATTTGTTTGAAAGTTTATTCTAAGCACTATGCCTCCCGCCGCTTCAGATCCGCCAACTCCATCGTCCCCACCTCCATCAGAACAAAGTGCCAAACCTAAGACCAAGCCTTCTGAACCCTGAGGACCAAACCTTCTGAACCCTGAGGACCAAACCCTCTGAACCCTGAGGACCTTGCTGCCCCTCCACTCTCTGAAGCTCTCCCACAACACATCAGGAACTCGGACTCACTTCAGAACGTAATCACTGCTCAAAACCCACCTGTTCAAAGCTACATTTAACTATTTTTATTTTATTGTATTATTCTGTCCTTTTGTAAATCATCTTTGAGTATTTAAGCAAGGCTATAATTATTAGGTTTTTTCCCGGTGAATGAGTGGATCTCCTCCATTCCCAAACCAAACAGAATATGGCCATGAGCTTTAGAGCGATGACCTGGAGAGAACAAAGAGATTAAAGATTGTATTTCCTACTTTAGGACACTAGCCACAAAAGTCTTTCTTGATGGCATTAGCTTCAATAATACAAAACACACGTCCTCACAAAGCTGCAGTATATTCACCAGAGAACGTTTGGTAAGGGAATACACATATACATGGGGGATACATACAGTTGTTTTAATTGAATGGATTATGACATTATAACTTGATGTAAAATTTGAAATATCTTTTTTGTCTGAAAACAGGTCCATGATGAAAGAGTCATCCTTGCCTCTCAACGCCTCGTCTGTCAGTGGCCATAATGCCATACCTTTGTGACCATATCAAAAGTGAATTCTACATCACAGATCTTATCATTTACAGACACATCTCGTCGCTCTCCGCACCAGGAAATAGAATCAGTGCTTTCATTTGCCTCATCAACAGACTGCTCTTTGTGGCTGTCATTTCCTGTTGGTCTGAAGCAGCTCTTTGTTCCTGCGTCTCTGATATCCACAAACCGGTTGCGATAGATTTCTAAAATGTTGGCAAACCGATAAAGGTGTCTCCATTCACCATAAAGCTGGCCTTGTTCAAACTGTGACACAGCAGGAACAGGGTTAGTCCCAGTGTCTGTCTACAGAACATGTGGAGTTTTGTTTCCTGCTTGTCTTTGCCTTTGCATGTGTGTCGTACGGCAAGATGTGCTATCGTCTTGAGAACTTTAAATCTCAAACCAGCTCCAGCTCCATGGATTTGTACCTGCACCGTTAAACAACATCACATCAAAACAATGAATATTTGTTTTATCACTAAGAAAGATGACAGTGATCAATAAACCTGATTCATTCTAAAACAGAGATGTCAAAGTGTTTCCAGAAAGCGTCGGTGCGGCTACAGGTATTCATTCCAACCAAGCAGGAGCACACCACTCTCGGCATGTTTCCTCAGGTCACCAAGTTAAGACTGGACTCACTTAAAGAAATGGTGGGAGTCTGGTGTGCTCCTGATTGGTTGGAATGAAAACCTGCAGCCACACCGACCCTTTGAGGACCAGTTTGATAACCCTGCTGTAGATTGATACAGAAGGAAAACAATGCTGTGGCCATTAACCTGCACGTCAAAGTCATTGTATTGTAAACCATGGCTTCTTCTCAAATAGATCAAAAACTCACAATTGTTTCACTTTTCTTTGGATCAAGTTATTTTCATTAGTGCTGGATCTACAACCTGTCCGTTTGGCCTCCCTGAGGTTTATCACTGTTTTCTTCAGTGTTGTATTTGTGAGTGGTTCTTTGCTGATGCAGGAGTGTATGAAGACAATGAAATGAATCCAGGACATTTAAGGTCATCTCACTTCCTATGGATCAATGGCTCCTATGTGTTTGTTACTATTGCATTTCTTGTGTTCTAATGTTAGATTCACCAACAATAGATCAGAGATTCAATCTATATACTTTGTAAAGTCCTCCGAGACGACAGCTGCTGCCATTTAGAAAAAGCTTTACACTTTTCTCTCTCTTTAAAATTGATTGTAATTGGTTCAGTTTTTACAATGCCTTGTCCAAACTGGATGCAGCTGATACTTGCTTGCATTTGTATTCACACATTGGACACTAATCTTGGTTCCTTCAGGCATTTTATTTTGACATATTCACAGACATATGCAGGGTTCAGGAGTTCACTCTGCCATCTCAGCGCAAAGAGAAGAATTTAGGAAAACAGTTTCACAGAATTGTATGCTATATTCTGACACTTTAGGTTATTGCACTCAAAAAGTGAAACAATGTATAGATAAATCCATACTAGAAACTTTCAATAATATTCTGTCCATTCTGCAACATATTTATTTCTCTTTTTCTGTATTTCTTTTCCAGTGACAGGAGCATAAGTGCTCACAGTATAGCACATGTGAGACAGAAAAAGACCAACACTGACTATAGAGACAGAGAGAGAGATGATGATAATAATAATAATCATCACTGTCCCTAAACCCTTCTGGCATCTGCAAGGAACGACTTAAAAAAGAAATACAGTGGGAAAAATGTGAGAAATCTCTGGGAGGCCCGTATTGAGACGACTAAGACTGTGCGGTGCAGGACTGAGTCCTGACCGGGGAGAACAGTCCACAGGGAACATCTACCCTTAAACTCAATCCGTCCAGTAGTAATTTCCCTTTGTTTGCATTCCTTTTGGCGAATGTTTATGGGAGACTTTTCTTGTTAGAATGCAAACAGATTGCAGGTCTAGTGTGCAGAGGCTTCATCAGCCTCAGTTAGACTCAGCACCAGATTGACAGCTCTGTGACGGTGAGTGATGAGGAGAGCACACATAAGGGAGAGTTCAGCACAGAGGACTGAGGACAGAGACAGGCCATAATGACTGCTTTCCTCATATATCCTATGCAGACTGGTGACTTTTTGCTTCAAATGATTTTATACAAATGTTAAATTTAAGTTTCAACCTCTGCCCCATTGACACCATTAAATCCATCCATTTTCAACAGCTTTATTCATTGCAGAGTCTCGAGGTATTGCCAGGTCAGAGACATAGTCCCTCCAACGTGTCCTCAGTCTTCCCCTGGTGTCCTCCCCAGGGACGTGTCCAGGAGGCATCCAAAAAACAGATGCCCGAGCCACTGATAACTGATATTAAACTTGTCATACTAAGGTTAAACAATTTTACCCATTATTATAATCATCACTGAGCTACCAAACGCAGAGTATTGTAATTGAATTTGAA